GGGTAAAAAGACAACTAAAATAAGAATTGATTAAAACTCTGTTTTTCCCAAGGTGGACATCATACTTAATGGTGAAAGACTAAAAGCTTTCTCCCTCAGATTAGGAATGAGACAGGGGTTTCTACTCTCACTACTTCTATTCAACTTTATACTGCCAGGGCAATTAGGTAAGAAGATGAAATAAAAGGGATTCATATTGGAAAGAAAGAAAGAAAACTACATCTACTTGCAGAAGACATGATCTTGTGTTCAGAAAATCCTAAGATTCTATATACAATTAGAACTAATAAATGAGTTCAGCAAGGTTGCGAGACACAAGGTCAATATATAAAAAACAAAAAAAAAAACCGTATGAAATGTAACTATAAAAACAATTTTATTTACAATAGCATCCAAAAGAATACACTTTGGAAGAAATTTAACAAAAGAAGGGCAAAACATATTTTGAAACAAAAACTGTGATATAGCTGGCCTAGAATTAGAACCAGTACAATGCCATTTTAAAACGGGAAAATTGTTTCCATTCTCCTCACAATGACTGCTAGCCATGGCTTCTGTAAACTACTAAGATTACCTTGCAAAATGCAAAGAGAGGAAAAGCTGCATACTTTCTCTTATCTGTAACTGCCAGAATTGCTGGCCTTTGTTTACCAAAGTAAGCACCCCCAGATAATTCCATCCTGGCACCAAGCAACTGAAAAATCTGTGGACCCCACACCTGTCCAAATAATGTATAAACTAATGTTTATCTTAACTTCTGCAAACCTCTTAAATGACAATCAGAATGTCAAATAGTCCACTGGCCCTTGGAATGTCTGGAGCCCCCCTCACCCTCGTCTCAGCCTAGGAGGTGATTGACAGCTTTCATTCCCATCTCCGCTCCTCACCCCCACTCCCAAGGTGGTTTTGTGGGTATAAAAAGTTCTTGTCACTCTTCTTTCTCTGCCACGGGTTGGAGAGATGTGAGTCCTCCGTGGTCGCCGGCAATAAACCCTGCAATTTGGCATCCTTTTGTTCTGGTGTTGACTTTCTGTGCTCAGTTTGATGCAACAAAACATTGTTCAAAGATATTAAAGAAGACCTAAATAAATGGAAAGACATCCCATATTCATGGATCAGAAGATTTAATGTTATTAAGATGGCAATACTCCCCACATTGATGTACAGATACAGCACAATTGTTATCAAAATCCCAGCTGGCTTCTTGGGGGACTCACACTTACTGATATCAAAAACTTACAAAGCCATGTTAATCAAGACAGTGTGATACTGGCATGTTGACAGAAAGATAGAACAATAGAATAGAATGTGGGGTTCAGACATACACCCTCACATTTGTAGTCAACAGATTTTCAACACAGGTGCTCAGACAATTCAATGGGAGAAACAACACTCTTTTCAAAAATGGGGTTGGGACAACTGAATATCCACGTGCAAAACAATTTAAATCTCCACTAATTCCATATAGAAAAGTTAAAAGGATTAAAGACCTTAATGTAAGGGATAAAACTATAAAACTCCTAGAAGATAACATAGGCATCAATCTTCTTGCCCATGGATTAGGCAATCGTTTCCTAGATATAACACCCAAAGTAAAAGCAATAACATAAAAAATAGATACTTGGGCTAAATAAAAATTAAAAACTTTTGTGCTTCAAAGGACACGAAGGAAATGGAAAGACAACAGAATGGTTGAAGATTTTTACAAATCTTATATCTGATAAGGGGTTTGTGTTAAAATATATTTTTGAAAACTTTTACAACCTACTAAAAAGACAATTAATTCAATACAAATGGGCAAAGGATCTGAGTAGACATTTCTCCAGGGAAGATATATAAATGGTCAATAAGCATAAGAAAAGATGCTCAACTGGGTGCGGGGGCTCACGCCTGTAATCCCAGTACTTTGGGAGGCCGAGGCAGGCAGATCACTTGAGGTCAGAAGTTTGGGACCAGCCTGGGCAACACAGCAAAATCCCGTCTCTACAAAAAATACAAAAATTAGTCAGGTGTCCTGGTGTGCACCTGTAGTCCCAACTACTCAGGAGGCTGAGGTGGGAGGATTGCTTGAGCCTAGGAGGCAGAAGTTGCAGTGATAGAGCCAGACCTTGTCTCCAAAAAAAAATAATAAATATGTTCATGATTAGTCATTTAGGGAAAGGCAAGTCAAAACTACAAAGAGATATCACTTCACACCCTCTAGGATGGCCATAATGAAAAGGACAGACAATAACATATGTTGATGAGCATGCGGAGAAATTAAAACCCTCACATATTGCTGGTGGGAAAGTAAAATGGTGCAGGTGCTTTGGAAAATACTTTGACAATTCCTCAAAGGCTTAAACAGAGAGTTACCATATGACTCGGAGGTGCTGCTCCTAGCTATACCCCAAATAAATGAAACTATATGTACACACACAAAATGGCACATTAATGCTCATAGCCCAAAAAAGGAAACCTAAATGTCCATCAGCTGATGAATGAACAAATGAAATGTGATATATTAAGACAATAGGATATTATTTGGCAACAAAAAGAAATAAAGCAATACATACTACAACAAAGATGAACCTTGAAAAACATTATGTTAAGGTCAAACATGGTGGTTCATGCCTGCAATCCCAGCAGTTTGGGAGGCCGAGGTGGGCAGATTACCTGAGGTCAGGAGTTTGAGACCAACCTGGCCAACATGGCAAACCCAGTCTCTACTAAAAATACAAAAATTAGCCAGACATGATGGTGTGCACCTGTAATCCCAGCTACTCAGGAGAATTCTTTCTACTATTCTTTTTTTTTTTTTTTGAAATGGAGTCTCACTCTTTCACCCAGGCTGGAGTGAAGTGGTGTGATCTCAGCTCACTGCAACCTCTGCTTCCTGGGTTCAAGCAATTCTCGTGCCTCAGCCTCCTGAGTAGCTGGGATGACGAGTATGTACCAACATGCCCGGCTAATTTTTATATTTTTAGTAGAGACAGGTTTCTCTATGTTGGCCAGGCTGGTCTCAGACTCCTGGCCTCATGTGATCAGCCTGCCTCAGCCTCCCAAAATGCTGGGATTATAGGATGTGCCTGGCTCCAAAATAAAAAGTATAAGTAAAACTAATGCTCTTCAGTGCTTAAAACCATATGTTTGGCACAAATAAGCATGTTACATGCATCATTTCAGGTAGTTCTCACAACTTTGTTATCCCTACCTTACTGAGGAAGAAACTGAGACTCAGAATATTCAGGTGAGGTGCCCAAGGTCACACAACTGGTAAAAGTGTGGTTGGATTTGACATCGAGTTGTCTGTTGAGTTGTCTCTCAGTCTCTGGATACAATGCTTTTTTCCACTTTGCTCCCAAAAATGAAGTGGGAAGAGAGGGAGGCTGGTTGGAAAGGATCACAGCCTCTCCTCTTACTTCCAATTTGGGGCACACAATTGACTGTCCAAATGCCACCTAACAAACCCTTTGCCTCCACTGCTATCCTCCAGTCTGTCCTGCCTCCTTCTCCAAGCCTCTGATGCATTGGTGATGTGGTTTGGCTCTGTTCTTCACCCAAATCTCACATCAAATTGTAATCCCCACATGTCCGGGGAGGGATCTGCTGAGAGGTGATTGAATCATGCGGGTGGATTTCCAATCTTTCATGCTGTTCTCATGATAGTGAGTGAGTTCTTATGAGATCTGATGGCTTAAAAGTGTGGCACTTCCCCCCTCACTCTCTCTCCTACTCCACTGTGATGAGACTTGCTTGTTTCCCCTTTGCTTCTGCCATGTCTGTAAGTTTCCTGAGGCCTCTCCGTCATGATTCCTGTATGAACTGTAAGGCAATTAAACCTCTTGTCTTCATAAATTACCCAGTCTCAGGTAGTTCAATATAGTAGTGTGGAAACAGATTAATACAACTGGGGAACCCACCACAGAATGTCTGCTCTGTGCCTGACTGAAGCCTTCTCTCCCCTCTGGTTAACCTGGAAGCTTGTGTATACAGTGAGGGTTTGGGGGTGAGGGTGGTAAGAGGGAGGAGGCCTTGTGGGAAGGGGTTCAGCTGTCACCCTTCCTACCTCATTTGAAGAGGACCACAAAATGTCTTCATCTTGGAAGTGATAGAGGGAAAGTTTGTATTTTTAGTAACTAACAGTGTTAGAAAGACCGGGATAGCAGTTACCCATTGTCCTGAATATCCCAGAGTTGATTTTTACCTTAGCACCTCAGCAGGCTTGATTTTTCTTCTGATTTCATGTTATAGTGCATAAATGTAACAAAGAAGTAATTATTCAAATATGTGTTTTTAATGTTACATATGTTTTCCTATTATGAAGGTAATACATGATCATTATAGAATATTTGTAAAACTGAAATTATAGAAAAGACAAAAATGGTGTATTTCCTTCCACTCTTGTCTCTGTCCAGATTTGTTTTTAACAAAATGTAGATGGCAATGAACAATTTGTATCTTGCTTTTTTCACTTTTTAGATTTCAAATACATTGTATTCTTTCATACAATATAATTTTTTAAATGCATTAATAACTGCATAATATTCCATCCCAGGAATAGAGAGTAATAGTGATGGAATCATGCCTATTACCAATTTCCAATTGCTAAATATTTATGATTAATGTCAATCATAAAAGAGGCTGTGAGTTTGATCAACCTCTCTCTCTTTAACTGAGACAGTGATTTGATTTGTCACCCAGGCTGGAGTGTAGTTGCGTGACCATGGCTCATTGTAGCCTGGAAATCCCAGGCTCAAGCGATCCCACCTCAACCTCCTGAGTAGCTGGAACTACAGGCATGCAAACCAACACACCCAGGTAATTTTTGTATTTTTCATAGAGATGCGGTCTTACTATGTTGCCAAGGCTGGTGTTAAACTCCTGGGCTCAAGTGATCCTCCTTCTTGGCTTCCCAAAGTGCTGGGATTACAGGCACGAGCCACCGCACCCAGCCTTATCTTTCAAATACAGGAAAGTATTTCATTTCAGCTTTGGAGATATAAATGCATTTTCAAGGTCTTTTTTATTTCAGAAAATATTCAAATACAATGAATATTATCTTTTCTGGAGGAGGTTCTCTTTAGGACAGGAAAGGCTGTGGGAACAGGTTAAACATAGCTTCTACTCGCACTGAACAAAACAGAGCTTCTTTTGCTTCATCAATTGATGATGTTTTTCCTCCTGGGTTCTTTGCACTCATTTCCTCATGTCTCCCCCTTTCTGCTCACTGCCCTGATGTTCTGGACGAGCCTGTCCCCAACATTTTCTCAAACAGCTTAACATGCGGATGGGCTGTGGTTTCCAAGCTGCCAGCAGTTTTCTGATTCATCTTCGGGAGATAATTGCATCCCTTTGCTGAGAAAGAAAATAAATGCTCTGATGTGCTAGAAAGATCAAAGTGAGGGTTAATGCCTCCATTTGAGAGTTCATGCTTAAAATCGACAAGCCTCAGACTTGGATGTGCTGTCTTCCAAAAACCCCAGCTGCTTATGCACCTTGGTCCCACAGGCATCCACCACACATTCCCACTGATGGGAGGAAAGAAAAGCTGCTGTCAGAGTCACTTCATAATAGCCTTTGGAAGCTTCCCAGATAGCAATAAAATATACATTTTATGTCCAATCCTTGGTCCTTAAGCCATAATCATTAAGCCAGGCCATCTTCCCTGGAGATAGGAGCTGGGCCTCTATATCTCAATATTACCCAGCAAATGAGTATTAATATGGCTCTATTAGATTGAAAACTAAGTCCTGTAGAGTTGAGAGGCCTATTTCTTGGTCTCCCAATGCATGGCCTCTTGGACTTTATAAAAAGGCTGCAGGCTTGGTGCAGTGGCTGGCTCATACCTGTAATTCCAACACTTCAGTAGGCTGAGGTGGGAGGATTGCTCAAGGAGATCGAGACTAGCCTGGGGAACATATTGAGACCTTGTCTCTACAAATATTAAAAATGACCAGCTTGGGCCAGGCACGGTGGCTCACCCCTAGAATCCCAGCACTTTGGGAGGCCGAGGCGGGTGGATCACAAGATTAAGAGATCGAGACCAGCCTGGTCAACAAGGTGAAACCCCATCTCTACTAAAAATACAAAAATTAACTGGGCATGGTGGTGCATGCCTATAGTTCCAGCTACTCGGGAGGCTGAGGCCGGAGAATTGCTTGAACCCAGGAGGCAGAGGTTGTGCTGAGCCGAGATTGTGCCATTGCACTCCAGCCTGGGTAACAAGAGCGAAACTTCATCTCAAAAAAAAATGACCAGCTTGGTGTGGTGGTGTACACCCATTACCAGGGTGCTGTGGAGGAAGGATCAATTGCTTGAGCCCAGCCGTTCAAGAATGCAGTGAGCTATGGTTGTACCACTGCATGCCAATATGGGTGTCAGAAACCCTGGGTTTTTTGTTTTTGTTTTTAAAAAAAGCCTGTAATTTTCCAAAATTTAGACGTGTATAATTCTTTTCTAGGTCTTTGTAAGTGGCTTAGTAAATATAACCACAGGGGCAGCAGTGAAATTGGCTTACCCAGTTTCACAGCTGCTTCCCTTGGTGCTTCAGTGGTTAGATCCAAAATCCTATTCTGGAATACAGAAGAGCTAGACTGCTGTGCATCATGATAGGAAAAGTTGGCACTGGGGCCTGATGCAGAGAGTGAGTCTTGGACATGGGACAGGCCCAATGACAGAAGGGACAGTAGCGATACCCCTAAAGGGGGCCAATTGGCCTATGGATGTTGGGGTGATCAAGACCAGGATCTATATTTAAATATCAGTGACAACAGCATTAGGCAAATTTTAGTATTTAATTTAATGAGACAGTGTGTGTAATATTTTCACATAACAGAGTCCAGGGCTAATGTAGCTGGCTCCTTCTTCCGCATTCGGTCCTCTTTAGAATTGTAGCTTTGGTCTTATGATCACAAAATGCTCCTATCTCTATTACAGGCCAGAAGGTCAAAAGACGCAAGATGCATGTCATCTGTATTTCTCCTGATTTACCAGAAGAACAATAGCTTTCTTTGGTGCCTGGCCCAGTGATTCTCACTTCTAGTCATTGGCCTGAACTGGGTCACATGGCTATCTCTACCCATGAAAAAGAATTTTTTACTGAATTCACGGAAATTACCATGAATCGGGGTTCTGTCAGTATAAAAAAGGTAGAATAGCATATGTTTCTACTTGTGACACTGGGCAACTACTTAACCTCTCTTTGTTCTGACTTTCTCCTCTGTAAAATGGACACTGGACCGTAATGGTGCCTATAACAGAGGGTTGTTGTGAATATTTTTTTTGAAACAGAGTTCTTGCTGTTGCCCAGGCTGAAGTGCAGTGGTGTATTCACCACTCACTGCAGCCTTGACCTCCTAGGCTCAAGCAATCTTCCTACCTCAGCCTCCCATGTAGCTAGGACCACAGGTGCACACCACCACACCCAGGTAATTATTAATTTAATTTTATTTTTTGTAGAGACAGGTTCTCTCTCTGTTTCATCATGTTGACCAGGCTGGTCTCAAACTCCTAGGCTCAAGCTATCCTTTGACCTCAGCCTCCCAAAGTGCTGGGATTACAGGGCGTGAGCCACTGTGCCTGGCCTGAGTTCATTTTTATAAAGCACACAGAACATAGCAGTATAAATGTGTTTGTTAAATTAATAAATGGAAGAATATTCATGAGGCCGGCCTACATAGGGCCTTCCATTAAGCATGGCCATTGTGCATGGTAATTCTCTTTTATAGTAACAGTCATTTGACCATTACAACCTGGTATTAGGTGTACTTCAGGAAATTAAGAGAGGCACATGGCAGCAGCCTGGAAAAGTGTTGTAAGGTGACCTGTAGAGAGCGGGCCAGGGCTAAGGAATTCACCTCCTTAAAGTAACAAGGCACAACCACAAGAGCAGTGGCAGATTTGTAGCTGAAATGTAGCAATATTTCCCAGATTGCCCTCAACTAGTGTGGCCATGTGATTTTGTCAATAGAGAGTGAGTAGAAGTGGACTGTGAATAGGAGAAAATCTCCAACCTCTTGCCTTCTGCTCCTTCCCTCATCTGATGGCAAGAACAACAATGACTGAAGCTAGTTCGTGGCAATGGCAGAGCTGCCAGGAAGCCTGGATCCCTGAATGACTGCATGGCACACAGCCACCGACTGACAAGAACATCTACCCTGGACTGTTACATGAAAAGAAAGGAATTTCCATTCTGTTTAGGCTTTTGCATTTTGTAACTCTTCATTCTGGCCTCTCAACTAATACAGTTACTTTCATAATTTAAAATAGGCTATGTTAAAACATTTGCTGATACTATGCATAAAATATTACTGAAAGGATATTTAGGACATGATAAGAACATAGGCTACCTGTAGAAGGGGAACCTGAGAGCCTAAGGAATAATGGTGGGAAGGAGTCTCATTTGTTTTGTTTTTACTCTGTAAATACATATAATGGTTGAAATCTGAACCATTTAAATGGAATCATTATTTTAAAAAATACAGGGCTGGGTGCAGTGGCTCATGCCTGTAATCATGGCAGTTTGGGAAGCCAAGGCTGGCAGATCACTTGAGGTCAGGAGTTTGAGATCAGCCTGGTCAACATGGTGAAACCCTGTCTCTATTAAAAATACCAAGAAGAAAAAAAAATATTAGCCTGGTGTGGTGGTAGATGCCTGTAATCCCAGCTACTCAGGAGACTGAGGCAAGAGAATCACTTGAACTGGGGAGGCGGAGGTTGCAGTGAGCTAAAATCATACCACTCCAGCCTAGGTGACAGAGCCAGACTCTGTCTCAAAAAAAAAAAAGGGAAGAAAAAGAAAAAAGAAAAGAAATATAAATAAGGTCAGGTGCAGTGACTCATCCCTGTAATCCCAGCACCTTGGGAGGCCGAGGCAGGAGAATCACTTAAGCCCAGGAGCTCGAGACCAATCTAGGCAACATAACGAGACCCTGTTTCTACAAAAAAATTTTTAAAAATTAGCTGGGCATGGTGGCACACACCTGTAGACCACATAACGAGACCCTGTTTCTACAAAAAAATTTTTAAGAATTAGCTGGGCATGGTGGCACACACCTATAGACCCAGCTACCTGGGAGGCTGAGACACTGCACTCCAGCTTGGGTGACAGAGTGAGGTCTTGTCTCAAAAACAAAACAAAATAAAACAAAAACAAATGAATTAAAGTGTTGATCTTGTACCACTTAGTTTGTTCAAATTCATTACTGATCAGCACTCAGCCTGCATTTGAGTGTCTTGTCTACTAATCTGTGATCAGGGCAAGGAGAAATGTGAGGGATGAAGCTGGCACAGAGGAGCTGCTGGGTGAATGCCTGGGTGGAGGGAGAGCTGCAGGGCTCCACCTGAGCATCTACCCAGCACAGCTCTTCTGGATGCCAGAGACCCGACTGCTCACCCCCATAGGACAGCATGTGTCCTCATGAGGGAGGTGATCACTGCATGCAGATTAGTGTCTCTCTATTTCCTGAGCAACCTGTCCCAGGACAATATCCTTTAATATGAGGTATTCAGAGATTTGTCCTGAATTTTTGGTTGGTGAGCAACGTGACCTTCTGTAACTAACTGAAGGGAAATTCAGTGTTTATTCTTGTAACTCGTTGATTTTTTCTGCCTCCTATATTTTATGTTGGGATGAGTGATTTGTTATTTTCCTGTTCATGATTTTCAAAGCCAAAAGATAAGGGACAATATAATATTTGGTCATTTTCTACTGAAGCACAAAATGGGGATATCTGATTCAATATGGATTGAGGGAGGGCATTGTGTGATTGATAGGAGTTCAGAGTTTGCCAAAATCTAATGAATATTTGAAATTATTTTATTCTTGCTTTCATACAGTGGAAAATTGATCGCCCCTGAGAAACCATTAACTCCCTTTTCGGGAGTCACTGATGGCTCCCCTCTTCCACTTTCTTGGACTCAATCCATTTTTTCTAGGAGACTTTTCCAGGTGGATGGTTTGGTATGTTAATAACAGAAAAAGATTCAAGTGGCTTTCAGAAACCCCTTTTTATAGTTTTGAAAGTTAGAACATTAAACCACTGATACACTGTTGGGAGCACCCAGTTCAATTATCCCCACTGGTTTTCAGTTGCCCACCAGATGATGATTCATGCTGGCCCCTGAGGGCCCTTCCATGGCTGGACCACACCTTTCCAGCCTTCTCATAGCTCCCTGTGGGATTCACCTGGCTGCTCAGGCACTTGACACACTTCACAGCTCTCAGATGCCACCTTGTCATGAAGTGTTTCCCCTTGAGGCTGCAACTGCCATTCATGAATTGCTTCAGGCACTTACCACTGCAAGCCCTATATTACAGTTATTTGGGTCCAGGATGCATGGGCTTGGAGGCAGAGAGCAGGTCTTAGCTGTCTTTGTCATTTTAACCTAGTGCTGGTCACCTTGTAGGTGCATGTGAATGCAAAATATGTAAAGGGAGTAAAGAAAAGAACCAAAAGTGGAGGGTCTTCTCTGCCGAAAATGTGCTTTCTAACAAGGATTGGCAAACTATAGCCTGTGGGCCAAGTTCACCTGCTGCCTGTTTTTGCAAAGCCATTAGCTAAGAATGTGTCTACATTTTAAAATCGTTAAAAAAAAATAATGGCTAAAAGAAGAATAATACCTCATGACATGTAAAAATCACATAAAATTCAAATTTCACTGTCCATAAGTAAAGCTTTATTGAAACACAGCCATACCCGTTCGTTTACATATTGACTGTTGTGGCTTTTGGACTGCCAGGGCAGAGTTTAATAGTTTGCAACAGTGATCATACGGCCTAAAATATTAATTATCTGTCACTTAACAAAAGAAGTTTGTTGACCCCTGTTCCTATAATAAGCTGAGGGCCTTCCAATGGAAATATTTGTTCTTGCTCTCTTCCAAATCTTCAGTCATACTAAGGACATTAACGGTTACTATCTCACTTAGTTATTTTTTATACTATTCACTCTTTTGAAATCTTCTGGGAAACAGCCCTTTGTTTGAGAAACCAGAAATATTCAATTCCTGTGATCCTAAAGAACATTCAACAAACTAAGTACCCATGACATGAAGGTGAGAGGAAAGCTCTCTGGAGATATGATAAGGAATGAGATAAACACAGCCTGCCCTTGTGTTGCTAATTCTAATGGGAAAAATTAAGCAATCTGTAACCATAAATATGATAATTTTTCTCCTGGAGAAGATAGAAGGTGTCCAGAGACTAGAGAGTGGGAATACCTTAGCTTGTGTAGGTGATATCAAGGGAGGGCTTCTTAGAGGAGGTGATACTTCCAGTGAGACCTGAAGGACAAGTAGGTATCATATCAGTGAAGAGCAAGGTGATATTTACATGGAGAGAAACAAACTTCTATCTTATTTAAGGTGTTATGTGGGGGTCTTTGTTACATGCATCCAAACCTTTCTTTTTTTTAGATGGAATCTTGCTCTGTCTCCCATGCTGGATGCAGTGATGCGATCTTGGCTCACTGCCAACTCCGCCTCCCAGGTTCAAGAAATTCTCCTGCCTCAGCCCCCCAGTAGCTGGGACTACAGGCACCCGCCACCACTCCCAGCTAATTTTTTGTATTTTAATAGATTCGGGGTTTCACCGTGTTAACCAGAATGGTCTCAATCTCCTGACCTCGTACTCCACCTGCCTCGGCCTCCCAAAGTGCTGGGATTACAGGCGTGAGCTGCCACGCCTGGCCGCACCTTTTTGTTGTTGTTGTGGTTGATGATGTATTGCCCAGTGTGGTGGTATTGTCCCAGCTCACTGCAGCTTCTACCTCCTGGGCTCAAAGATACTCCACCTCAGCCTTCTGAATAGATAGGGCTACAGGCATGCAGCACTACACCTGGCTGAGTTTTCATGTTTTAATTTTTTGTAGAGACAGGATCTCACTATGTTGGTCTGGCTGGTCTCAAACTCCAGCCTTCAGTGATGCTCCCATCCTGGCCTCTCAAAGTGCTGGTGCTGAAATTATAGGTATGGCCACTGCACTTGGCCCTAATGCATTCTTTGCACCAAAACTGCACGACCTCCTTCCTCCTATGGAGCTGGGAGTCAGAGCCACTGAGTGGACTGGTTTGGGGAGGAGCTTGAAGTTGCAAGGGGAGAGGACTCTGGGTTGCTGGCTGCTTATATCTCTTTGAGGAAGTTTTTGTTGGTTGGCCCCAAAATGTCTTAAAAATGAAAACAAAAGTCCTTTTATGCAAGAATGCCCCTCCCTTCTTCAGCCAAGCTCCTCTCCGTGAGCTTAACTTTTACTCTGAAAGACTCTTTTAACTCAAGCTCCTTGACATAACACCACACAATTCGGTGAGAACCTTCTTGCCAGTTTTGTTTTTAGGGTAGAATTGTTTCTGAGGTTTACTGAATACGCTCTGAGAGGACACTGAGAGGATTTCACTCTGATATCTCTTCTGACATCTGCCATCTAACCTCCAGGTAATTTAGACATCCCTGCTGACTTATATATAAAACTAGCATAATACAACATCTTAGGAAAATAATATCAGCTTTGCAAAGAACTTTCTTCCAGTACTAAATACGAGGTACTGTGTTCACTTTAAAAGCAGTGGGCTGGGCATGATGGCTCATGCCTGCAATCTCAGCACTTTGGGAGACTGAGGTGGGTGGATCACCTGATGGCAGGAGTTCGAGACCAGCCTGGTCAACATGGTGGAATCCCGTCTCTACTAAAAATGCAAAAATTAGTCAGGCATAATGGTGCATGTCTGTCATCTCAGCTACTTGGGAGGCTGAGGCACGAGAATCGCTTGAAATTGGGAGGTAGAGGTTGCAGTGAACCGAGATCGTGGCACTGCACTCCAGCCTGGACAACAAGAGCCAAACTCCATCTAAAAAAAAAAGTCAACAATAGGCTGGGTGCAGTGGCTCACGCCTGTAATCCCAGCACTTTGGCAGGCTGAGGCCAGCTGATCACCTGTCAGGAGTTTGAGACCAGCCTGGCCAACATGGCAAAACCCTGTCTCTACTAAAAATATAAAAATTAGCTGGGCGTGGTGGTAGCCTACAGAGGCTGAGGCATGAGAATCACCAACGTTTTGGGAGGCAGAGGTTGCAGTGAGCCAAGGTCACGCCACTGTACTACAGCCTGGGCAACAAGAGTGAAATTCTGTCTCAAAAATAAAAAAAGTCAATGACAGCCTATGCTCAAAATGAAGATGTGTTTTTTCTTCTGGTGATTCATTATGCACTCCTAAGTACGCATTTTGTCATGCAGAGGAGTCATGTACATATGAAAAGCCAGCCCAATAAATTAGTCAGTATACTGATGAGTATGTTTTCATGAGCTGGATACTGATTCATGTAAATCAATGAAGAGATAAAGTGATGTTGGAATAATTGATCAGATATAAACCTATCCATGTATAATGAAACTGCTTATAGAGGCCTTCAGGATGTGTTACATTTATAATCATAAGTGAGAAAACTGTAGTGAACGTTGTCATTTTGGGTTGCCCAGCATCCAAACACCTTTTTGTTTTGTCAGGTACAAGGTCAGTGAAGGCCAAGATCTTGCTTTCCACTCTGGAAGCTGGAGAAGAGCGAAGACTCTCCCTCCAGATTCCTTGAACCTGTGTGTGGACGTTTGACCATGGCTCTGCCAATCACATCTTCTTTCCTGAGGCTTTGGATCTTCAGGGAGTGATACCAAGGCCAGAAAGAGCAGAGACTATTCAGAGTGGCTGCTGGATGGGACTGAGAGACTTCAAGGGCTGTTCACAAGTGTTTGGGGATGATGATGTTAGGGCTCGCACCCTTTGTAGACTAAATCTCTGGAGGGACCCTGATTGTGCCCTGTGTACCTGAGTTGCTGTTTCCAAGGATAATTCTCCATTCTTCCTGAGATTTTTCTTTCTTTTTTTTCTTTTTATTTTTTTGAGACAAGGTCACTCTCTGTCACCCAGGCTGGAGTGAAGTGATGTGATCATGGCTCACTACAGCTCTGACCTTCTAGGCTTAAGTGGTCCTCCTGCCTTAACCTCCCAAAGTGCGGGGATTACAGGTATGAACCACTGCACCCAGCCCCCTCAGGACATTTTTTGAGACATCCAGTATGCTTTCAATAAACCTCTTTTCTGTATATGTTAGCCAATGTTGGCTTCCTTATTTTCAAGAATACTGGTTGTTTCATACTCTATGTGAGAATAAGATATACAGTATTATGTAAGAAGAAAATTTTATTCTATATCTGGTCCAATTCTAGACTGGGAAGAATTAATCTAAAAATTACAGTTGCTTTAAGGATAAATGGACAGGAAATCATATATTTTACAAAGAATATGTTGTAACATGTTTGTTTGGTGCACTTAATTGCTACTCACCCTTTCAATGTACAAAAGCGTAATCAGGGACAGCCACAGTCTCCAAGAGCCTGACAGAGAGGCAGTGGTATGCTAGAATTCAAAGAGACCTTTGGAACAATTTTATCCAAACACTTCATTTTACACGAAAGAACACTGAGGTTCTGACTGGCTGAATTCCTCACCCTAAATTGCACAGCCAATTAGTGAAACAGCAGAAATTCTAATCAGACACTACTGGGGAACTGTGTTATTCTACAGGAAAGACAAGCAGAGTAGGGAAGGGAGTGGCAATGACTGGTATCTTGCTTGCAGAACTGAGACCACCAAATGTCCGTTTGGTTAAGAGGCCTGGGCAGTCACAGAATCCTGTCCCGAGGTCAGAGCATGGCCACATAGCAAGGCTGGCAGGTGTTGCCGTGCTGCTGGACAGTAGGGTCAGATAAGAAAAGGGCTGAACCTAAAGGTTTCCTCTTATCCCCAGAGTTGTATGGATTAGAAGCCCAAGAATTTAAACATCCCTTAGCCCACTCCCACCTTTTCTGTTGTTGTTGAGATAGGGTCTCACTCTGTCACTCAGGCTGGAGTGCAGTGGTACCATCATAGCTCACTGCAGCCTTGAACTCCTGGATGCAAGAGATCCTCCTGCTTCAGCCTCCTAAGTAGCTGGGATTACAGGCAAACGCCACCATGCCCAGATAATTTTTAAATTTTCTTAGAGATTGGGATCTCATTTTGTTGCCAAGGCCAGTCTCAAACTCCTGGGCTCAAGCAATCTGCTTGCCTCAGCCTCCCAAAATGCTGGGATTACAGGTATGAGCACTGCACCGGGCTTCCTTCCTTTTTTTTTTTTTTTTTAACCTCGTGGGAATGTCTCACCTTTCTAAAATTCATGAATCCAGCTGTAATTTCTGGAACGTATGTTTCCTCTGCCTTTGGTTCGAATTTTGACATGCCTCACAGAATTGGGCTGCAGCTGGGCATGTCACCATTTGGGCCTCTATCTAGTTGTTAGAATTATTGCCCCAGTTGGAGGTGCTTACTTTACATGGGCAGCTATTAGTTATATGGGCCCCTTAAGAGAAGGAGGGAATTTGACAGTTTAAACTGCTCCCTCACGCATCACAATGACTTTCATGTGATGTTGGTGACAGATGGATCTGTTGAAAGCACTGATATGCCTCAGGATACTCATCTCTCCTGCAGGCTGTTGCCATTTAGAGTTGATTTTTGTTTATCATTTGATTTCTGCCTGATAGAGATCTTGTGATATCTTGTTACTATTTTTTTTAAGGTTACATGGCTGGGTGAACAAAGGAACCGTAGGGAGAAGGAAACTGTCTCCAAACTAGGCTGAGGACTATGTAGGGAATGGGGGTGTCACAGGACGGAGAAGACAAGATGAAATTCAGGCCAAACTGAGACTGGCCTTAGTGGGGAAAGTCCAGCATCTTACTATAGGAAAAAGAGTTCAAACAGCAACTGTTTCTATAAGGCTGAGCTTGTAGCTCCTACCTAGAAAACATGTAGAAGAGAAAGAATGAAAACTAAGAAGTGATTCCTGGTAATATGGCTGGGCTTTGTGTCCCCACCCAAAATCTCATCCTAAATCTTAATTCCCATAATCCCCATGTGTCAAGGGTGGGACCAGGTGGAGGCAATTGGATCATGGGAGCGGTTTACTCCACGCTGTTCTAGTGATAGTGAGTCTCACGAGATCGATGGTTTTATAAGTGTCTGGCATTTCCCTGTTTGCATCTACTCCATTCTGCTGCCCTGTGAAGAAGGTTCCTGCTTCTCCTTTGCCTTCTACCATGCTTGTAAATTTCCTCCTGAGGCCTCCCCAGCCATGTGAAACTGTGAGGCAATTAAACCTCTTTCCTTTATAAATTATCCAGTCTCGGGTATTTCTTCACAGCAGCATGACAATGGACTAATACACCTGGTTAAGGTACAATAGCAAAACTATATATTTTAAAAATTTTGAAAGTATTTCATGAGTGTTTTTACATCATGGTGTGATGTAAACAACAAATTGTTGTAATCTGTATTGAAGTATTATATAGATGATGATAACTATTCATTGTATAATAGGATAATTTGATGCTTTACGGGTTTTAGTTGGGGATGTCTTATTTCTTGGAGATTGCAGAGGTTAAGAACTAGAAAATTAATAATATAACTTTCAGGTTTGCTTCCAATTCAAAGAAAATCATTTTAGGAGTGAAATGTTAAAATGGATCACGAGGCCTTCATATCAGTGCAATATAATCCATATCTTTAAGTTCTGAGGAAAAAACATCTATGTGTTAAGTCTCCTTGGGAGAAAACACCTCTCCTTGTTATTAGAACCTCTTTCTTGTGGCTGAATTTTATGTTGTTTGATTCTAGTGAAGATTGATTATACCTGTGACTATGCAAGAGCATTCACCCAGAATATTAGCAAGGCCATATTCTGTGCGGGTTTCAACATCTTATGCAGAGTACAGCAATGACTGAATTGTAGTTTAAAAAGAACAGGAAGACATTTTCTTTTCCTTTTTCTTTTTTGAGATGGGGTCTCGCTCTGTCAGCTAGGCTGGAGTATGGTGGTGCAATTTCTGCTCACTGCAACCCCCACCTCCCTTCAGTGATTCTCCTACCTCAGCCTCTTGAGTAGCTGGGATTACAGGCATGTGCCACCACACCTGGCTAATTTTTGTATTTTCAATAGAGATGGGGTTTCACCATATTGGCCAAGCTGGTCTCAAACTCCTGACCTCAAGCGATTCACTCATTTCGGCCTACCAAAGTGCTAGGATTACAGGCACGAGCCATCGTGTCTGGCCAGGAAGACATTTTCAACATCCTGATAGCTTCTGGCTTGCTATGGTGACCAATATTCAACAGAGAGGTAAAAAAGAATCAAAGGAGCCACTAGTCAATTTGCAGTGCAGCTTTTATTTTATAGTCTCATTCTGTCGCCAGGCTGGAGTAGGGTGGCATGATCTCGGCTCACTGCAACCTCCGCATTCTGAGTTCAAGGGATTCTCCTGCCTCAGCTTCCTGAGTAGCTGGGACTATAGGGTGTGCCACCACGCCCACCTAATTTTTGTACTTTTAGTAGAGATGGGTTTTCATCATATCGGCTAGGATGGTCTCCGTCTCTTGATCTTGTGATCCGCCCCCCTTGCCCTCACAAGGTGCTGAGATTATAGGTGTGAAGCCACTGTGCCAGGCCACAGTGCAGCATTTATAATAACAGTATGGCTGGGCATGGTGGCTCACACCTGTAATCCCAGCATTTTGGGAGGCCAAGGTGGGCAGATCACCTGAGGTCAGGAGTTTGAGACCAGCCTGGCTGATATGGTGAAAGAAATCCTGCCTCTACTAAAAATACAAAAATTAGCTGGACGTGGTGGCACATGCCTGTAATTCCAGTTACTCAGGAGGCTGAGGCAGGAGAATGGCTTGAAACCAGGAGGCGGCGGTTGCAGTAAGCTGAGATTGCTCCACCACACTCCAGCCTGGGTGACAGAGTGAGACTCCCTCTCAAAAAAAATGTATGTATATATATACACACACACATACATATATATATATATATATATGTAATATCACAGAATCAAAATGTACATCCAATCACTGCTGGTGAGCAAAGGCAAAGTAAACTGGGCAATCATTTATTTCTGTATTGTGTGTGTATTTTTCTGGGGATAGAGCCCAATTCCCTTCTACCTACCCTTTCACCGAGTGATTCTTCACTGTCATTCTCTGCACGGGCTCCTCTTCTGGGCCCTCCCATTTCCCACCTCATTCTCCCCTTGGTTAGCAAAAGCTATTGTACTTCAAGACCCATCTGAACACCATAGTTTCTGGATGCAGTGTTAGACAAGATGATTTCGGTTGCTAGTGATAGAAACTCAACTCAAACTAGCTCAGGCAGAAAAGAGGGATTAGGCCAGGTGTGGTGGCTCATGCCTATAATCCCAGCACTTTGGGAGGCCGAGGTGGGCAGATCACCTGAGGTCAGGAGTTTGAGACCAGCCTGGCTAACATAGTGAAACCCCATCTCTACTAAAAACACAAAAATTAGTTGGGTGAGGTTGTGCATGCCTGTAATCCCAGCTACTCAGGAGACTAAGGCAGAAGAATCATTTGAACCAAGGAGGCTGAGGTTGTAATGAGCCAGGATCCCCTCACTGCACTCCAGCCTGGGCTACAGAATGAGACTCCATCTCAAGAAAAGAAAAAGAAAAGAGGGGTTATTGGGTCATAAAGTTTTGGGAGAACAGGATGCAACTAGCCTTCTTGGGAATCTATTAGCAGCAACTCAGCTTTCTTTCTCCATTTCTCATTCCTGAAACCCTGGGCTTGATGGCTCATTTTAAACCTTGCAGAGGAAAATGAAAGCAGCAGGCAGAGAAGAGGGTCACCTTCAGATTTTGCAGTCCAGACTCAGCCTGGGGCTCATTTTGGGATTCCTGAGAATCTACAAGCTCATAATAAATACCCTATTTGATTAAGCTAGCATGAGAAGATTTCTGTTAGACATGGACCCGACAAAATGAAATGAGGTCCTGGAATGTCGTTGTAAAAGGAAAAGTACAACTCCTCCTCAGATGATCTTTGATGCTATCACCGATTGGAGCAGGAAGACTTGGGAAGCCACTGGGATGGATTCCAAAGACTCTTAGAAAACTCTCACTAAGAGTCTTTTGAGCGTAGGGCAGGATTCTAGGTCCGTGAACCTCGCCGATGCTTTCCGTGCCTTATATCACATTCCCACCTCTGTTTTCAGCCAGGCCCCAGGACTTATAATAGCGACCTTGAGAATGCATACTTTAAAGGCCCTTCTCTCCTGCTTTACTCTCTCTATTCCCTAATTTCTGCTTCCTGGGGTTGCATTCCAAATAAACTACATGTTCCCAGACCTTGTCAAAGTTCTGCTTTAAGAAAAACTCAAACCAATATAGAGAGACATATACGATATGGTATTTGCCCATAGGGGACTTATAAGTTTAGTTGGTGTATTTGAAGAAATATTCCTGGAAAGCAATAAAATGAAAATAAAAGGCAGGCTTCAGTTAAATGACACATAAGTGGTCCAGATTCTAGTCCATTATAGCTGCTATAGATTTTATTAAATTTTAGTAATAATTATTCCAGCTCTTCTAACTCTGAGAAGATCTGGTTTTTCCAAAATTATTATTTCATTTGACACTTTATTAATCTTGTATTGCTGAAGCACTCTGTTCTTAGCTAAGTATGAAGAGGTGGGATTGGGTACACTTTGTACCATATCCTTAGTGATCTGTAATTATATCCTGTCATTCAAATGCTATTCTATTCAACTTTAAAGAACCGAAACAGCCCTTAACATTTTACTTTTTCTTAATACTAAACAGAACACTTAGGTCTTCACAAAGTCATCCTGAATATGTCGTGAGAGTAAACAAAAATAAAATTAGCACTTTGTACTTGGGGTCAATTATTTTGAAGGAAAAATAAAGGAATTTAATTTTTGTTTTAAAGTAACAAATACACTTGTAATTGATCTCAGATAAAAACTATTTGGAGAAGATTAGTAATCATTTCAGCCCCTAATCTGTTAGAACTGTATCCTGAACAGCCTTGATAAACTGGGTTAACTGTTTACATTCACTACTTCACATTATCTACAGTATAAGAAGAAACAAGGCATTGTATCAGTTTAGGCTAAATGCATGGCTGGCAACCAAATCCTGCCTCTTTTATTCGGTATTTTTTTTTTTTTTTTTTTTACGTAGCTCTTCTACTTTGTTGATATCAGCTTTCACAGCTTCTTCCTTGGCAGTGCCTTTCAGCTCATTCCAGCATCCCACTTTCCCTTGCCTTCGAGGTCCAACATCAGGGGCCATTCTGTATTTAAGTCATGCACAGTTGCTCGTTTGTAGCATCATCTGCTGGCTTGGTCGTAAGGTGCTTACTATCCTTGGCAGCTTTAACAGCCTGAGACATACTGGCAGCATTGAAAGGATTCCTGGGAGTCCATTGAGAAGGTGCAGAGCAGGAAGCTATTGGAACTTAATTTTTTAA